CACACACACACACACACACACACACACACACACACACCCCACTGGACCATCCAAGGATCCAGGAAACCAGTTGCACTCCCTGACGACTTTTTAACATATGAAGATTCCACGTTTTAAAAGTTTGAACTATCACCAGATTTTCCTTAATGTCCCTACTGCCCCTTTAGGCTACCTTCCATAATCTCAGCCTCACTGAAGAAGCCGAGGCAGAGACACCCTGGATGACTGAGGACGTCAGGAGCGTAAAGTGCGCCAAGATGGCTGTCTGGCCACACCCAGGTCTTGCGCAGGCGTAGTTCATGGCGCGTTCCCGGAAGAGCTCAGAGGTGGGCGCAGTGTGGCCAAGGCCGGTAGTCCCGGAGGCCCGTAGCTGATGTGGAGGAAGCTATTAAGGGGAGAACCAGGTGATGAGGAAGGTTCTCTTGAGTTTTCCGGGGAGAAAGGCGGGAGCTGGGGTGGCCGCCGGGCTCTTCGCATGCAGAGACTGAACTCCCCCGAGGTGCTCCCGAAGAAGAAGCAGTTAGCAGGACTGACTTTCTAGGAGCGCCTGGACGCTGCGCTGGAGGCTGCCCTGCAGGGAGAAGGAACCCGCTGAAGGCAGTGGGGGCCCTCCCTGTGCAGTGTGCTGTCCCTGAGCTCAGGCTTCCCGTCTGCATCGGACCCTAGGCGGTTCTGGGAATGAGTGTTTAATCTCAGAAAGTTTAGGAAAACCCCCGTCCTGGAACGTCTTTGTTGTATTTTTCTCCTTTAGGTGGGGCACCTTTAGCTTTTGTGCTTTTCAGCCTAGCGCTTTCAGAGCACTTCCTTAGAGTGCTATCTATACTAGTGCAAGGTCTTTAGCCAAGGTAAACATGCACCTGGTGTAAAGTGTAGCATAGAAAAGAGTTTTTCTGAACTCCCCACGTGAGAGTTTTGACCTGCTAGGATACATACAGTGAAAGTACTTACTGAGATTTTCCTAAGTTATACATGAAAAAAAAAAAAAAAAACGCTTCGCTTGTTTGGAAGAGAACTGGGCAGTCTTCTAGGGGAAGAAAGACCAGGAGTTTCCAATTGGTTCTCATTCATACTTGATTGTCACTGTGTGCTTACACACGAATAAGGGATGATATTCCTGTTTTGAATTTTTATATAGTTTTTTTTTCTCTGTCTGTTAAAATGCACACGAATCTTAGTACCAGCTGCTTGCTTGTTTAAATTCTGTTTAAGGTTAGAGTTTGTGTGGAGGTAGAAAATAGGAAATGAGTTTACCTGGTCCACGGTATTTTGGGTGAATCTGGCAAATGCAAAACAAAACAAAAAATCAATACAAATGGGTTTGAGTGCATTCTCTCACACTACACATGAAATTGCATAGCTGAATATATGGGGGAAATAACTGTTTTTATTATTTAGCAGAAAGCTTATAACCCAGCTTTGATTAAAGATGACTTCCTTGATCACTCAAGAAATTCACCTTTCTAAAAGACATGAAGAAATGTAAGTTTTTGAAAAAGATATTCCAAATATGGAGTGTGTGCTGGCTTTTGGAGTGAAACATGCACAGAAAGACTTAAAAACATGAAAGTATTATTTTTCTGATTTGAGATTTTATTATAGATGATTTAATTGTCTCTTGAGAATAAGATGAAAAGGCACAACTATGTTCTACACACACACAACACACATATATACATATATATACATTTTAAAAACTAATAACAAAATTCACCTTTCTAAGCTTCACAATATTATTATTATTATTATTATTATTTTGCTAGCAGGGGTTCTTGAGACAGTCTCATGTAACCCAGACTGGCCTTGAACTTGCTATACAACTAAAACTGATCTTGAACCCCTGATTGCCCTTTGTCTCCTGAGTGCTTGTAGTAAGGGTAGTCACCACCATGCTTGGATTATTTTAACTAAAAAAATTTAACTTTATTATTTAAAAATTTGTGTGTGTTTGAATGTGTAAATTTGCATGTGTTAATACACAGGAGCCCAGAAGAGGGTGAAAGAGCTAAGAGTTCCAGGCAGTTGTTTGGTGCTTGATGTGGGTTCTGAGAACTAAACTCAAGTCTAGTAGAAAAGCAAGAGACCCTAACTTGTGATCCGTCTCTCCAGCTCCAAGCTTGGCTTTTAGTAGACTTGAAATCTCTAATGCAGGTCTGGCTTTATGTTCATGGAGCATAACTTGTACAGTCACAGGCCTTGCATTCACTTTAATGTTCAAATGTGATAGTCTTTAACCATTTGTCACTTGGTCCACCATATTGTGTAGCTAGCCATGGCCTTATGGTTAATATGAATCTTCTTCATATATCTGTGGGCTCTCAGATTTTCCTGTTGTTTAACTAATTACCAGGTCCTGCCCTTTGGTGTTCTAATGCACTATTCTCATAAAAACAAAAATAGAATGAATGTTCATCAACCTCAGTTTTTAGTTCTCCATTCAAGATATCCCTACAAAACAGTGTTCTTTGAGAACCTTCATGACTTATTTATTACTTTCCTGTATACCACTTATGCATTTTTAATCATTGTACATAATTTTTTATTTATCATTTAGGGGATCCAAAATTTATAAAATGTACAAAAAACTTTTCAAGTGCATTATATGTAATGAAGTAGTTAAAGAATTACTCATAACTTTTCATCTTTCTTCAAACATTTGTTTACCTTATGAGCATGCATGCATGCATGCATACTGCCTCTCACTCATATATCAGACCATCATCTCTCTCTTGGAAAAAGAGATAAAAAATATTTTTATTGCTTCTTCAAACATATGGAAGTTTAGCACAATTCTAAATGTGTAACATGAGATTCAGGGGTACTGAAGTGTTAAGCAGAAGGTTTCCTATAGCAAGTTATAGCAATGTATATGTGTGGGGAGGTATATATAACTATGTGTACAAGGAGATATGTATTACAGTTTGCATTTTCACCAAAAATTACATATCTTCAACACTCTAAAATAATTTCAAAAGACCACAGAGGCTAAAAAAGAGAGACATGTACTTATGGTATATAGGAAGTATATGTTAATGAAAATAAAAATAATTTTATCCAGATTGACTTAAGACATTGTAAACTATCTACTCTTTTCATCGTCTCATTAGTTGATAAAATAATTGGCTTTCAATAATGGGTCATAGTTGAGGTGAGATACAATTAAGAAAGAAACGTTACATATTGGTCAAGCAATAAAATGTTTGCTTTTCAGTTTTTTCCTCTCTATATATAATCTTTACTTCTTTTCAGAGTATCACAAAGATTAATGTTACTTCAGAAAATGAAGAATAATTTTGGAGATCAAAACACAGAAAGAGCATGTCTCCTTCAAGCCACTGAGACTGCTTCAAAAAGGAACCTCAGTCTCTTGCAGGTAATTTCCATGGCGGGTGTAGATGGTTTCCCCTTTCCTAAGGTATTTGCATACATGTTATGATTTTGATTCACATCATTTCTTTGTTTTTGGTAACAAGCAGAATTAATGAGCCAGTGTCTTTTTCAAGCCTGTGTTAGTTGGGCAAATAGCATATGGATTCTTGCTTTTCAAAAATGAAAAAAAATTGAAGTTTACATAAGCTAAATGTTTTCTGTCAACCAAAAAAAAATCAATGACAACAGGAAGAATATTAAGGTTACCTTTGTGCAAGAAGAAGCAGAAAGTGTATCCTTACATTTCCATATTCTTCCATTTCAAGGAAGGACCCCAAAGACCTTAAGCTGTGATGTGTTTAGATCCAACTCAAATACTAGACAGCATAAAAACATGAACCATTTGATTTTGCCCAACTAACTCCACAGTAAACACACAGAATTCACTGTGTAAGAGCTCACTTCTGACTCCTTGGATGGTTATGGAGTAGGTGGTCAAAGTGTATGATTGCACAGGGCCTCACCATTTGGCCACTGTGCCCATTTGGAATAAAATCATATGTGTAACATTTTTGGCTGCTTGCTATACTGTGCTTCCAGAATTGTGTGGCTTCATCCATAATTAAAACCCTAGAGTTTGCTTCCATTCAAGCTTCCAAGAGATCCTATGACTAAAACATTTGGTAGTAAGACTATATTATTTAAGTTATAAAGCAGTGTTTTCAGTTTTTTATTGTTAAATATTTTCATCGATAGGCATGATACAGCTATCTTCTATCCTCACTACAGGATAAAGGGAGAGGAAAATTCAGTTATCTTCTCAGCTTCTGGCAGTTTGATCCACAGTAATTTAAGTCACAGCCATAGTGCTACCAAAGCATTCTATATTGCCATATGTCTTACTTGCCCAATGGTGTTAACAATATTTATTTTTAAATGGAAATATATAGGGTATTCTGGAAATTGCTGTGAAAAGTTAGAGAAACTAAATTGGAAGACTTGATTGCTACTACCTGTAGCAAGTGATGGGATATTTGGTTTTCAAGTATTTTCCTTTTAATGAGCAAGCATTTGATGAATGCCTAGAGCTAAAGTAGAGATAACAAAGTAAGGATAAAGCAAGGTTCTTGCTTCAAGGAGGCTACAGATTAGATAACATCAGAGTGTGTGAGCTCTTCATTACAAACAACCAACACTTTATGTGATCAAATACTAAATTATATGGAATAGAATAGAATGCAGACTATGAAGATTAAGAGTAAAATATGCTCGAGAGCTTCTTTAGTATAAATACTTTCCCCACCTTTCCAAAAATATTTTGCATGAATTTGTGAATTGGTGTAATTTCTATGTTCTGAATATTAGACATAATTAATGACCTAACAGATGTAAAAATATTCATAGAGATGCCTGAAATGAAGTTGAACCTCATTTGTGTTTAAATAGTCAAGACATTCCACTGGATTCTTAAATAAAAACAGTCAAGAGCAAAAAGATGAATGGTCCTATTAATATCAGTCGGATTATGAGCTAACAAGCTTGAAAATTCGCAGGAACCATAAGCCAAATAAACTCTTCCATAAGTTGCTTTTGTCATGGTATTTCATCTCAGCAACCAAAAAAGTAGTTGATAAAGGAGCCAAAGAACGTAAGGCTTAAAATATAATGGTAATATAGTACTAAAAATATCTAAGTTCAAGAAGAACACAGTCTCACACAAGAAATAAACAGGGGCTGGCAAGATGGCTCTGCATGTAAAGGCACTTGCCACCAAGCCTGAAGACCTAAATTGGATCCCCAGGACCGACATGACTGGAGAGAACTGATTAATACAAGTTGTCCTCTGACCTTCATATGTGTGCTGTGGTATGCACACACCCACATGCATTCACATACATGGTGTGTGCACACACGCACCCACAAATATTTAAGAAAGAATAATTTTCTACTTAGATGATTCAAGAATAGTGAAATAGGATGGAGAGAATGCTCAATGGTTAGGAGCACAGGCTTCTCTTCTAGAGGACCAGCTTCAATCTTCAGTACCTACATGGTGGCTCACAACCATCCATAACTCCAGATTCAGAGGATCTGACTGACACCTCTTCTGACCCCAGTTAGTTCTTACACACATAGACATACACTCAATCACACACATATACACCTAAAAATTAGCTTTTTTAAATGAATAGAGAAACTATTCTTGACATTAATAGAGGTAAGGAGAGAGGCTAAAAAATATCCATCAACCCAGTTTCCTTTATATTTTATATATATTTACATAAGGCTCATACCTATTTTATAATGGTCTATGTATTGAGTGTATTAAATGCATTCTAAGTTGATTTTCAAATCATGGTCCATGGGTATAATCACAAGTTCAGGGATATCAGTGGATAAGGAAGAGAATACATTGGCTTTATAACTGAAGGAAATGAGTTTAGTATGCTGGATTTTTCCCCGACTGTCATAGTGAAAAGAAACTAAAAGGACAAAATGCTTGTCTTCATAGTATCCTACTCATTTATTGAGCAGTTGCTGCATCATACGCATGGGGACTGCTGCTGGACATGATTTGTGTCCTGTCTTTATTTTATAGACTTTAGTTACAGATGCATTTTTAAATCCTGTGTTGCTTTCATTTTTTAAAATTCCAAAGCAGTATTAATGGTATCAATATAGAAATGATTGTATAAAACTAAGATAAATAGAATTTAATTACTGTATGATATTGTATTGCAAGGTATTTTCTGGGGATATGGGGTGCTAGAGAATAAACCCAGACGATCATGAATGCTAAACACACACTATCAGAGAACTACTTCTGGGAGAGTGGGGATTAAACCCAGGATCTTCTATACACCTGCTAAGCAAGCATTCCACTGCTGAACTGTATCCCCAGCCCTCGTTTTACTTTGTATTTATGTATGGGGAGTTGCCGCATATTCTTGTGATAATCATAGGACAGTTTATGGAAGAGTTTTCTTTGTCCACTATGTGGGTTCTGGAGATTGATTGACTCAGGCTGTCAGGCTTAGCTGTAAGCGCTTTTACCCATTGACCCTCCCCTTAAGTAGTCTAAGTTTCCTAGACTGCTCTTAAACATACTCTTGTTGCCTATATAGACAATGAATGTGTAAAAAGTAATTCTCCTGCCTCAGTCTCCTGTGTAACTGGGAGTACAGGCCTGTGCCACCAGGCCCAATTAATGAGAAAGACATTAAATAGTGTGCATACTAAATTAGAGTCTTACTGAAAGGATAAATATTCTTTTTAACATTAAATGTTTTTCAAAGGTATAAAAGTGAACTTGACCTGACCCCCCCCATTCAACCTTCGCATGATGCCCAAGTACTGCTTTAAAAGTACAAAACCCACAATCTGACCTAAGTATTTAAAGAGTGTAGTAAACTGTAGTATAACTACTTCCAATATCTTGTCAAGAACAGGGTAGGTTACCTCTAGGGCAGGCACCTTCAAGGCACTACAGCTTTCAGTGACAACGATACTAACACAAGCATGACCTCTCTTGCTACCCATTATTTGACTGTCCTTAGGTCTTCTAACTGGTGGAATAAATGTTAATGAGGGGTCAGCCTCTTTTGAAAAGGATGATTGACCAGCATTGTATGTTGTATGGTTGTAACCTTGAAAACACCAATATTATGAATTATGTAAAACTGGAATATTAGAGATTCAAAAGTCAACCGCATTCCTGTGCTACACCTAGAAAATTAATGAAATCAGATTTACATTTGCCATACAATCCTAGCTACTTGGGAATTCTTCCCTGCTACTCATGATAGTGTAAAGATATTCAGTACACTAAAACGTGATATTTAAGAGAAAGTTTAGGAGGAGGCACACGACCTCATTCTCACTGGGGAAATGCTTATTTACTTATAGTCGTTTATCACAGAAGTACTTATACATCTATTTAGATCCCAACAAAATTTGCATTGGACGTGATAACATTTCTGTAAAGTCATTTGGGAAAAATAAACTACACATGCACATGTGAAAACAGAAGTGGGACCAGTAAGAGGGAAGGAAGGGAACACAGGGAAGGAAGACATGAATAAAGACAAAATATAGTGACAAATATCAAAGTCCACTATTTTATGCTAACTTTAGAATTACTTTTTACAAAGCAATATCAAATAATCAGAGAATTTTTTTGAAGGAGACACAAGGAAACAACTAATTGACCAAATATTTGACATATTAGTTAATCAATTGCATATGTAAAAAGACAGTCCTGAGTTAAATTTTAGTCCATAAATGTCACAAATGATCATGAACTTAGAAAATACAGGCTGAGTGACTTTTCCCAACTGTTATTAAATAGAAATAAGCCTTAAAAGCAAGCATGATTGGTATGCATTTGGAAGAGAGGAAGGATGCTGTTTGCATAAATAAAGTTGTGTGTTATAAAGTACACTGCCTCCTCACCTCTCAGAAAATTAAGCCTTTTGCAGAAAGATCATTCTGTGGTTACAGAAGTTGGGCAAGCCCTGAAGGACAACATAGGATAGAAAAGCATAATAATCAGGAATAGAGTGAGTGCCTCTACTGAGGGTAGCCTAGAAGCCATCATAGAGCAGTTGGTAGTTAAGCAGGGACTTAAGCAAACTGTCACCTGGATGGCCTCAAGTACTTTTAATGAAGACAAAAGAAATAGTAGCTGAGCCTAGCATGCACAAGACCCTGGGCTCGATCCCCAGGACCATAAAATCAAAGATGAAAGTAAATTAATTTTTTAGTATTTATAAAATATTGCAAGTATTTGCTTTCAAAAACATTTTTTCTCACCAATCTTCAAAACTTGGCATATATTTTATATTTAATCAAGTACATCATAACTCATAACCAGCACATTTTAAGCCCTGGTAGGTTAGGTTAATAGCTATATTATTAAGAGTGGAAATCTAGAAAGCCCATCAAATAGAGTTTTATGTTTGGGGCAAGAGCACTTCAGTGTTCATGATCACGGACTAGAAGTAT